CTAATTAAAATAAAAATAATAGAAGGGAAATCAGCAGAGTAGAGCAAACGGTTCAGGGGAGAGAGTGAGGAAGGAAAGGGAAGGTACAGGGAATGAGATTGATCAAATTATGTTACGTGCATGTGTGAATATGGCATAACGAATCCCACTATGATGTATAATTATAACACATCAATAAAAAAAACAAAGGCTTCAATATGGGTTTGATGCATCAGGTATAGGATGAGGGTAGAAAGGCCAAGAGTAACAGGGATCCCCCTTCCCTATCACACTCTCTGTTGGTGATTGAATTGTGTCCTCCTGAAAAACATGTTGAAATCTTAACGCTAGAACTTATAACTGTATCCTTATTTGGAAAAGGGATCTTTGCAGATGTAATCAAATTAAAATGAGGTTAAACTTGGGGATGGGGTTGTGGCTCAGTGATAGAGTGCTCGCCTGGCACAAGCAAGGCTCTAGGTTCAATCCTCAGCATCATAAAAATAAACAAATATTGTGTCCAACTACAACTAAAAAATATTTTTTAAATGAGGTCCTATTGCATTAGATTGGGCTCTGACGCAATGACTGATGTCCTTATAAAAGAAATTTGGACACAGACACGTGAAGAAGGTCATGTGAAGACAGAGGCAGAAGTTCCAGTGACATATCTACAAGCCAAATAATACCAAGGGTGGCTGGCAACCACCAGAAGCTAGAGAGGCAAAGAAGGTTTCCACTTAGAGCTTTCAGAAGGGCCATGCCCTGCCAGTCTCCAGAACTGTGAAAGAATAAATGTCTATTCCCAAGGATAGTTCCCAAGGGAAAAAAAAACTAAATTTGTTATCAGCAGCCTCTCAAATTTATATACCTTCTCTCTCCTTTCTGCTTCCTTGGAGCCCAAGCTCATGAATCCCTACTAAAGCAGACTGTAAGATCTCTTTTTCCCCAGGGATTGAACCCAAGGGTGCTTAAACACTGAGCCACATCCCCAGACCTTTTAATTTTTTTATTTTGAGACAGGATCTCACTAAGTTGCTTAGGGCCTTGCTAAAATTGTGAGGCTGGCACCAAACCTGCAATCCTCCTGCCTCAGCCTCCAGTGCCACTGGGATTTTAGGTATGTGCTGCCACACTGGCTGGACCATAAGATTCTGACATCTAGCAGTGAGTGCCCTCTACTCTCAACTTTCTACCCATCCTTGAAATGTATCTCATTGTCAATGCTGCATTGGGGTGATGGGATGATCCAAATCAGGGTCAAAATACTAGGCTCAGGCCAGTCCAGAGTCTGAACATGGAAACAGAGCCAAGGGTGTGAATGATTAGCGACAGGGTTATGAAACCAAGGATATGAGTTCTCACCCTCGTCCCACACAAATGACAGAATTGGGGTTCCTTTTCGTGGAGTGGCTGGCTGTGAAATAAAGGCTAAGAAAGACAAGGCAGCGAAAAAACCCACAGGACACAGAAAGTAATTTTTAAAAAGCTGAGGTGGGACAGCTAGCCATCTCAGGGATCGAGCTTCCACACTAGAAAAAGAGGAATGGTGCCCACGTTTGTTTTTTTTATATGGGGGGAACATCAAAGGTTTTTCATGGAATGTTCTTTGCCAAATAAGGTAAGAGGTGAACTGTCCAGTTCCCAAAGGGTTTCACCCAACTCTGGAGCTACAAGATTTGTCTCCCAAGTAGAGCAAAGACAAGAGATCTCATGCCTTGGGTGATCTGATGCACACGGAGAAAGCCAGGATAGTTCCCAAGGGAAAAAAATACCTAAATATTCATGGCTCAGTACCACTCAAGTGGCTCACAGGTGGCTCCCCACAATGAATCTGAGGTGGGAAAGAAATACCAGGCAGGGCATGCCCACAGTGAGCAAAAACGTGTGGATCAAGATCCAGGATGCTACTATGAATGGAACTCTACCTCTATGCCAAAACCAGGAGATCTGGGACTCCTACCTCCAAACTTTAATTCCACCACTTTGTTCTGGAGGAACCCTTTCAATTTCCAAATAATTTGCACATACAAAATTTCATTTGGTCTTCAAAATCAGTCTGAATGAGCCGAGTGGAGCAATAATATCTCCATTTGAGCCATGCAAATTGATGCACATTGGTAAGCTCGGTGACCCGGGAGGCTGAGGCAGGAGAACTGTAAATTTGAAGTCATTTCCAGAAACTTAGTGAGGCCCTAAGCAACTGAGTCAGACCCTATCTCAAAATAAAAAAATAAAAAGGACTGGGGATATAGCTCAGTAGTAGAGTACCCTGGATTCAATCCCTAGTACAAAACAAACAAACAAACAAAAATTCCATTTCTCCATTTGATTTACTGGCAATCAAATGGTCAGAGAAGCTAAGTAACTTGTTCACTTCCCATAACTGGATTATTAGAGAAAAGAAAATGAATTTTGGTTAAAATTAGCACCAGCAAACTATTTGATTTCTATGCAGCTCTATTTTTTTGTTATCATTATTAAATAAATGATATTTTCAGAGCACCTCTGTGTTGGGCATACAACAGATGCTCACTAAATGGCCGTTTCTTTCCTTCCTCCATTTATTATTTGTTTTTGCAGCTCTGAATTCTGTGCTCCTTACACTAATTCAGTGTAAGTGTTGCCTTCCACTGGCTAAAGGGATGTTGGCTACTAAATTCACCCCTCTAGAACTCATATTCTTCATCCATTTTTATCAAGTGGATTACCAAAAGACTGGACTAAATTATTTCTATGCTGTCTTCCAGCTCTGATAGTTTGCAGCCTTATGAAAACTGCAATTCTGGCTGCCAGTCTAGTTAACAGACCAGCTTTGCAAAGTCTTCACCTGTTATACTTCATATCACCATCAGGGGGCGCCCACGACCATTTATGCCTGGGATGAAGTCAAGTGCTAAGGTTGTGAAGCTCTTGCCCAGGCCTTCACAGAGCTGGAAGGACTATCTTCCTAAAGACAAGAGAGGAGAGAAAGTTTTAGTCTCTATAGGGAGAAGCTATTAAGATTTCAGGAATGAAGCTGGTGTATAATTACAGCCCAGTGATTGCCTATGGTGGGCTACACTTACCACCATCCCTTAGAAGAATCTACCACGGGGGAGTCCTGGGAAAGTTTGCTGCCAACCTCCTCCTTGCTCTAACTCTGGTTCCACCTAGTAGGTCACCTCTGGAAAACCCACTTGCTTCTCACTCCCTCTCCAACTCAATCCTCTTTTGCTGTCATTTCCATCCCATGCCCAGCTCCTGCTAACAGACTTCTGGAAGGACAAGTGGCTCCACAGGCTCTTCAGTTTTCATTGGTCTGTAATCTTCACATCTCTAGGTTCACAGCCATGGTTGTTCATCTTCACAGTTCAAATGCACAGGCTTCCTGCTAGCAAAAGCAGCCTGCTCTCCGCCCAAGGATGTAAATCTCCTTCAGTTTGACACCTGGCCACAAGTTGCTAGAGAAATGACCAGAGAGGCTGCCTCTCCAGCTGTCAAATACACTGGTGACAATCTGCAGATGGAATCCACAGCCCAGTACAAGTCTAAACACTCCAAAGGAGGCTGACAGTTGGCACCCGGGTGCATATGGAGCAAGACACAAGCAGTATGAGCTCTGGATGCTATTCAAGGATGATTCTATAAACCAGAGTCCCCTCCTCCAAATCATCCTCTCCCTGCCTAGGACTGACTGGGCGATTTTCCTCAGTGATGTCAGGATGGGTATCCAGAGATGGGTAGAGGAGGCCCTCTTATTTATTTATTTATCCCAGACTTGAGCAAGACTTCCTTCTCCACCAAGAGACAGTTCAAGAGTTGAGTCCTTTCCAAGAAACCTTAGATACCTCAGACACCAGAGATTGCACACTGCTCTGCATTGGAAAGGAGAAAGTCATCTTTGGTATGCAAACATCCTGAGAAATAAAACCTGGGCTCCAGAAGAAAAGAGAACAGCATAGACGGGGTCCAATTCACAGAGAACACCCATATGTGGAAATACACTAAGCTTATCCTGAGGGCAGATCTAAGTTTTATAACTCTAGGGCCCCTGAACATAGCCAATGCACTGTATACCATGTCACAAGCATGCTAAACATTTAATGATTTACTGAATATCCTGTGAATCAGCCCAGACCATGGTTTATGGAGTCTAAATAAGAGCCCACAAAATTAGCAAGGGATTTCCATAGAATTTTTCTTTCCATAGGAAACCTGCCCAATAAGTTTCATTAAAATTGAAGTAAGGAGCCAGGCATGGTGGTTCATGTTTGTAATCCCAGTGGCTCAAGAGGCTGAGGCAGGAGAATTGCAAGCTCAAGATCAGCCTCAGCAACTGAGGCCATACAAAACTTGGTGAGACCCTGTCTGAAAATAAAACATAAAAAGGGCTGGGGATGGCTCAGTGGTAAAGCACCCGGTGTTCAATCCCTGGTATAAAAACAAAAACAAAAAACAAAGAAACAAAAAAGATATCAACAGGCTCAAAATTGTAACTTTGGTTTTACTTGAAGAGAATAACATAAATTTCTGCAGACTAGGAATAGAGTGGGAAGGTAGAGGCTATGGAAATATTTTTTTATTGCCCAAGACATTGCCCAACACAAAAAAACAATACTGTGCTATATCTAGACACACACACACACACACACACACACACACACACACATCACATAGACATGGCACTGAACCAAACTGGTTCCTGCTGGCAATAAAAGATTATGGATCCACCATGGGTTTATAATATGGAAGGTGACCAATGTCCCATGTATGATCCCGGACACAGTGGGCCCGGCTTTGCTACTCCCTTGCAACTGGATTCCAGGAATTTCAGAAAGCATAGGGAGGCAGGAGAGTCAAAGGCTTGAGCTGACTCGCTTCACGCTTCACCCAAACAGACTTTCGTTTTTTGTTTTTATGAGGATTAGGAAGAAAGGGACAGGGATTAGTTATAATTTACTGCCTCTGTCAAAAGCTAGCTCTGAGCAAAAGGGAAGGGAGCAAATGGATTATGAAAAAAAAACAAATGGGGAGAAAAAGAGAGCAAAGGATGAGCTGTATTCTGTAATATTTATTAATTTGATTTTAAATGGAAAAGAAGGGATCTGTTCCAATGGTTCATCTTCCTATGAACCCTGGAGTCCCCCCCCCAGCCCTGAAGAAGTCCTTCTGCGTGAGGTAGATCAGACTTGTTCTGTGTCTAATGTGAGAGACATTGGTGTGCCGAGAGACATTGATGTGCCGAGAGCCATAGAGCAGGAACCAGGGACAAAACCCTAAACCTTGGCCTCTTCTAGCCTGGTCACAGAACCTAGAGAATACCCATGGTTTTTCTGGGTCTGGGCAGCAGCAGGAATGGAGCTAGAGTGCTCTCGTTGCCCTACACACACCACACACAAGTGAGCAAGGTGATGTGCACCCTGTCATAGCCATGGGGCTGCTCTCAGGGCAGCTGGTGCAGGCAGCCTGGCACCCTGGCTGCTGAGGTAGTAGTGGGAGGAGGTTTAGAAAACTTCCCTCGGAGAGAGAGAAGATGGTGAAAACCCCCTTGGTTTAAGGAACCCGCTTCCCATTCCATAGCCCAGTCAGCAGGTTCTGGAAAGTAGTTTTACAGCTGGGGCATTCCTTAGGGCTCATTCTGAACAGAGAGCCCAGAGACTTTCCAAAGGTTCTGCATCCACGGAATTGTTTCTTAAAACTCCTCAGGAAGCCCTGAAAAAATGGAGATAACATATTTTGGGTAAAGACTGACTGGGGGAATGGGGCACTGAAGGGAAGGGATAGCCCCCACAGGGACCCTGGGAAACATATTTTATTACACACAAGCATGGGGGACCACCATGTTACAAAAATCCCATCTCCTAATTGCAGCCCAGTCTTTGAAGGGGGTGGGGCACAAATTTCTACTTACAGGTTCCTCCTGCGCTGTCTTTCATATCCGAAGTGCATTCTCACCTTCATAGCCTTCAAACCTTTGAGAGAAATCAACTGAGGACCAGGGGTTGGTAGGGCCACTAGTTTTCCATGCAAGTCTGAGCCAGGTATAATGATGGCCAGAAATCTGGGCACCCAAAGAACTGAGCTAGAAAACCGACACGAGAGCCGACCACGGGGAGGAGAGGCCTCAGAACACAGCTATTCTTTTCTGTGGCACATCCTAGGATGAAGAACCACCCACCACCTGCCCCTCTTTTGCTTCAGCCCTTGTGGTTGGATCCAAGAAAGGAAAGGACCTTGGTCCCCTTTTGGTTCCCTACTCTGCTCCCTCTTTTTTCAAGGCAGAGACCCCTCCCAGAGACCTATTTCCTTCTACCAAACCCTAAACTCAGAAATGAAGATGCCATATACCATCTGACTCTAAACTGCCTGTCCCTCGGCCCTGATTACCTACCTGTTGAGCGGTGAACATGGCCTGGACTCCACGGGGCTGGCCCCGGCGGCTGGAGAGCTCAAGGGATGGCGAGCTGGGGAGGCAGTGGCCCGGGTCTCCTCTGGACCGCAGCCGCTGCCGCGGCACAAAAGACGGCGGAAAGCGCTGCGAAAGTCCGGACTACGACAGTAGATCAGTGGGTTGAAGGCAGAGTTGGCATAGCCTAGCCAATTAAGGGCGAGGAAAGCCGGGTCAGGAACTAGAGAGGGTCCCCCTAGGGCGCGCAACACGTTAGCTAGAAAGAAGGGCAACCAGCACAGAGTGAAGGTGCCCATGATGAGACCCAAGGTGCGCAGGGCCCGGTGCTCCCGGAGAGGCAGAAGCCGCGCGGGCCGCCGGCCACCGGAGGGCACTTGAGTCGAAGGGCACGTCCCCGAGGTGACAGAGTACCGAGAGTGCGACAGAGCCGACGGAGACTCCTCCGGCGGGAAGCGGCCCAGCTCCCGGCGCAGCAAGCGCAGTTGGCGCTTGGCCACCACGAAAACTCGTGCGTAGACGAAGAGCATCACCAGAAGCGGAAGGTAAAAGGAGACTGAGGAGGAGAGCAGCGCGTAGGGCATGTTGGAGGCGAAGGAACAGCAGAGCGGATTGGAGTGGCAACGCTGCGCCTCGGCGTCCGCACCTACGCGCCACCACTGGCTCATGATCGGCGCAAAGGACACCGCGGCGGACACCACCCACACCAGGACCACGGCCGCTCCAGCACGGCGCTTGGTGACTAGTGCACTATAACGCAGTGGGTTGGTCACGGCCAGGTAGCGGTCCACAGCCAAGGCGCACAGGGTTTCAATGCTGGCCGTCACGCATAGCACGTCCACCGAGGTCCATAGCTCGCAACCAGTCGCGCCCAAGGGCCAGTGGCCAGTCAGCGCCAAAGTAGCCCCTGGCGGCACTACCAGGAGTCCCACCACCAAGTCGGCTGCGGCCAACGAAGTGACGAACACGTTGGTCATGGTCTGGAGTCTCGGCGTCCGGGCGATGGCCACGATTACCAACAGGTTACCTCCCACAGTGGCCAGCGCCAACAGCGCCCCAGCCAATGCTGCAGCCCAAGGTACCCCTGGCAGCCCACTCGTGTTGGCGGTGTTGGGTACAAGGGTGGGGGCGTCTGGCCACAAGGCCAGGGAGCCGTTCCCGTGAGGCCACGGAGCCATCTCCGCGTCGCGAGTGGAGCAGGAGAGAGAGGGAGGGAGGGGCTCTCCCCGTCCCCTGGTTCAGGGGAGGGAGCAGCAGAACCTGGGAGCGACTCCCCCAGCCTGGGCCATCTTCCGTAGTTGACAGAGATGAGACCGGTCAGCCTCCCCCCACCACTACCACACCCCCACTCCCTTGGTGCGAGCGCTCAGGGGTGGGGGGAGGTGTGGCCGTGCTTAAAGGGGCAGCGACCAATAGTTTCTAAGGGAGAGGCCTCAGGGACGAAGTGGAGGGTGGAAGGGAAGACCTGTCACAGGGTGTCCATTCTTGCCATAGGCCAGGAGCAACACTGGGAGAAAGTAAAAAAAGAACCCTCCCACCTCCAACCTTTAAGGAGTCAGAGGAAAAGATGACTTTCCCAAGGCAAGCAGAATATCCAGAGTAGCCTGTCATCTACTTGGGTGCCTCCGCTAAAGTGTTTTGTATTGTTTGGTGGTGCTGGGGATGGAACCCAGGGCTTCCCTGCATGCAGGCCAATGCTCAGCCACTGAGCTATATCCTCAGCCCACCTAAGGTATTTTATTTTATTTTCAAAATTTATTTACTGTTTTGGTACTGGGAATTTAATCCAGGGGCACTCTACCACTGACATACATCCCCAGCCCTAGCTGTTTGTTTGTTTGTTTATTGTTTTTGAGACAAGATATCACTGAGTTTCAGACTGTTGTCCAACTTATAAGCCTCCTGCCTCAGCCTCCTGAATTGCTGAATGACAGGTGTGCACCACCACATCCTGCCTAAGGTATTTTAAATTAAGTAATAGAAGGCAGCCAGTGCCTCCTGTTCTCTCCCAAGACCTCAAGCCATGATGAGATTTATCATTTTCCCTTTCTGTTTTCACTTGCCTTCTCTTCCCTTCCAGTTTTCTGGGTTTTTATTTATATTTATTTTTCCCCCAGCTACTGAGGAAATTGCTATTTCAGGAGTCTTTCATTGCTTGCCCATTTTCATTTGGATTTGGTATTATGTAGTTTGGGATGCTGAAGAGTTTTGATTCCTCAATCTTCCCTTCCCTATACTGCCCCCTTCACATACCTTTCCACCTAGAAATTTTCTAGATAGATTTCATCTCTTAAAATTATCTGACACGATGACATGTTAAAAGAGATGGGGCTGGAGATGTAGCTCAGAGGCAGTGCAGTTGCCTAGCAAGCCTAAGGAAAAATGGATAAACAGAGCCAGTAGGAGTGGTGCACACTGTAATTCCAGCTACTGGGGAGGCTGATGTAGGAGGATCACAAAAGTGCCAGGCCAAGTCAGGCAGTAGTACATGTCTGTTATCTCAGCAGCTTGGGAGGCTGAGGCAGAAGGATTGTGAGTTCAAAGTCAGCCTCAGCAACTTAGTGAGACCCTAAGCAACTTATAGAGACCCTGTCTCAAAATAAAAAAAATAAAAAGGGCAGGGGAGGGCTGGGATTGTGGCTTAGTGGTAGAGCATTTGCCTAGCATGTGTGAGGCACTGGGTTCGATTCCTAGCACCACATATAAATAAATGAATAAAATAAAGGTCCATCAAAACTGCAAAATAAATTTTAAAGGGGGGAGTGCTGCAGTGGGTGTTGCTCGGTGGTTAAGCACCCCTGGATTCACTCTCTGGTACAAAAAAAAAAAAAAGATCAGCATAGGCAACTTAGCAAGACCCTGTCACAAATGAAATTTTAACAGTGGTCAGGGATGTAGCTCAGTGGTAGAGCACCTACCTAGCATGTGCAAGATAAGGCCCTGAGTTCAATCCCCGGTACCACAAAAATAAATAACAGCGCTGCGGATGTGGCTCAGTGGTTAAGTGCCCCTGGGTTCAATCCCCGGTACCGAAAATTCAATCAATCAATCAATCAATAACAGTAGTAAAATAATAGGATGAATAGGATGTGGTGGTGTAGCTCAGGGACAGAGTGGGAACTTAGCATTCTGAGGCACTGAGTTCAATCCTCAACACTGCCAAATAAAAGATGAATGGGTTTGAGGTTAAGCCTTGTCCACCATCACTCTCAACTGTCCACAAATCTTCCACTAGCCACCAATGGTAAATTCTTCACTACCGTGAAGACTTTATTCATGAGCTTTTGGAAATTAGAAGATGTTGGATTTAGGAATTCTCATGTGCATTCTCCAGTGCACTAGGTCAGGCCTGGTATTTTAATGCCTCTGAGGTCTCTTATTCACTCCCAGCAAGTTTCCCTCACCTGAAGAAGCCTAGAGGCCCCTTTCCTGCTCACTCATTCAGACTTACAAGGCCTGGTTCTTCCAGCCCAGTCTCCCAGGCTTTAAACCAGTTCCTCTTAAGTTGGGTGTGGGGAAGAGAGGTTGGAAAATAAAATCCAAGTTGGGGGGCAGGAATGAATGTATGATACCTTTATTAAGGCCTATCAGGACCTGATCCTCGAGCTGTTTTGTTTCCTCCCCCGAAACAATGGGACAAAAGGAGGAAAAAAAATATCATGGAAAATGCCTCCAGGGCTATGCCCTAGCATGTTCTTTGAACAGCTCTATATTTCAAAAGAGCACTGTATAGTCACTGATCTAAGCAATCCCTCTGGGAGGCTGAGCCAGGGGTTGGGAGTTAGAAAGATTGAAGGCAAAGTGAGAGCCTAAAATTATCCCTGAGGAAAAGAGAACCAGCTGGATCTCCCAGGGACCCAGCAGTTCACCCATGAGCAGGGTTTGTCATGAGCTCTCTTGAAGTACCCCAAACAGGCCTTCAGATCCCTAGAAGCCCGCAGGGGGATGGTGATGAAGAGGAAACCTCTGGCCCCTCCCCTCCCTCTCCCTTCCCCCTTCAGAGTCCTGCCAGAGTGGTGCAGGCCTCATTTGGCTGTGGCTTCTTGCTGATCAAGATGATCACTCCTAAATCAGGTTTTGCAACACCCCAGAGTGTTGCTAGTTATCCCAAAGGGGTGTCATAAGATTCTCAAAAAATAATCTCTAAAACAAATACATACCATTTGACAATTCTTTTCCAGAACATCAGAGTTGGTGGGGAAAGGAAAGGGATTCCAAGAAGTGAAGCCACTTCAAAAGATGTCATTGCTTCAAGGGGTGACCTTGTTCTTTGGAGGAAATGTGTAAAAATGTTTACATTTTCAAAAAAAAGTCAAAATTTCCCAAATCACACGAGCATGCCTGAGTTTGGAAAATGATTCTACCAATAACCAAAGGACACTGAGAAGAAAAATACCAGACTCCTGTAAGCAGAGGTTTTTCTGAGCAAGCAGAGCAATATCAATGCCAAAGCACTTGGCTTCCTTCCTCTGCGCTAGCCCTTTCCTCCTTTAATTCTTTGGTCTTGTCTCCCCTGCCCAGGCTGACTCATGAAAGGCTCACTCCTTTGCCATTGTAGTCTATAGAATAGTCTCCTTTTATGTGATTTTGTGTTTTAAATTTATAATTTTTAAAATAGATAATACATTCACATTATTTACCCATCAAAATACTCAAAATGCATATTATAGAAAGTTGCCTTCATCCCAGTTTTCATCTCCCCAACAAGTAACTCCCATTAGATTTTTTTTTATCCTGCCAATAATACTTTATACACATGCAAGTCAATACAAACACATTCTGTGTGTGTGTGTGTGCGTGTGTGTGTTATTGAGGATTAAATCCAGGGTCACTCTACCACTGAGCTATATCCCCAGTACTTTTTATTTTTTATTTTGACACAGGGCCTCCCTAAGTTGTCCAGGCTGGCCTCAAATTTGCAATCTTACAGGAGGAGGGATGGGAATAGGAAAGACAGTAAAATGAATCAGACATAACTTTCCTATGTTCATGTATGAATACACAACTAGTGAAACTCCATATCATGTACACCCACAAGAATGGGATCCTAATTAGAACAAGTTATACTCCATGTATGTATAATATGTCAAAATACACTCTACTGTCATGTATATCTAAAAAGAACAAAAAATATTTTTTTAAATTTGCAATCCTCCTGCCTCAGCCTCCCAAGTAACTTGAGACAACACGCATGCACCAACATACCCAGCTCAAATGTATATTCTTTTGTCCTTTCTTCTCCACATAAACATACAATGTTCTGTACCTTTCTTATTTAGCTTAACTATATATCTGTGATCCTTTCAGATCAATACATAAAATCTTCCCATTTTTAAATATTCTATTGCATGGATATACCATAATCCATGAAACCAATTATATACTGAGTGATATCTAGTTATTTCCTTTCTTTTCCTCTTTCATTTCCTCCTCCTCTTCCTTATTCTTCTTTTTCAGTACTGGGGATTGAACTCAGGGACTTATACATGCCAGGCAAATGCTCTACTACTGAGCTACATACCCAGCCCTTTTTAAAATTTTATCTTATTTTATCTTGAGACGGAATCTTGCTCAGTTCAGGTTAGCCTCAAACTTGTGATTCTCCTGTCTCAGCCTCCTAAGTAGCCAGTAATATAGGCATGAGGCATCACGCCAGGCTTTCTATCTTTATTTAGACGATGTGGCAATGAATAAATTAGTTCATACATGTGTGTAAGTATATTTGTAGAATAAGTTTCTACAAATAGAATCGCTGTGTTTAAGGCATATGTACTTGCAAATTTGGAAGAGAATGCCAAATTTGGAAGAGATTGCCAAATTGCACTCTCCAGGCAATGTACCCATTTACACTCTCACCGTCATTTTTGGTGGCCAACAGGGGGTTGAAGGCAAGTGGCCTAGTGCTCTGGGAAGTCATCCTAATGACTGGCCCAAAGGGAATTAGTATTGCCTGGTCTGTAGAGGTCATCCAACTCTGGATAGAAGCATACATTGCCCAGAGTAAGCATTACCCAGGGCTTCAGCCCCCAGATGACCTTTGTTCTGTGTCCTTGGAAGCAGGCAGTGAACATGGGCCTCTGAATCTACTGAGGTTCCCAGGCTGCTGTTTGTGTGTTGGGGGCACCTGGAGTAGTCTGGCTCTACTGTCTGGGAGAATAGCAAATAGTGATTCAGAATATGTGGTTGGCAGAGCCTGAAGAGGCAGCAACCCCCTGATGAAGAGAGGTTCTAATAGCAGGGAGGTGGGGAGGTCTTCCCTCTCCCTGGTAGCTTGTAGTTTGTAGTCATGCAAACTCACAACTGGATGCATGTAT